GGTGGTGCAGAACCCCGCGTGTTCACCCTGTGCTGACTGGTTCCCCCCCCGATGGTGGTGGCCATTTCAGCTGGGGGGCTGTCCTGCCCCACTCGGCCCGAGGTGAGGCCCAGAGGGATCCCCCCCCATAATCACAGTCTCCCGCCAGCTTGGCTTACTGCATGGTGTGCGCAGTCCCCAGGGAGTCGTGGAGACCCTGGGGCAGGCTGACCTGCTGGTGGGGGAAGGGGCGAGCCAGCACACTTGGGGTTAGGCCTCTCGGGCAGGGGCCTTAGAGCCCGTGGGGTCTGCTGTGTCACGGGGTCCCGGCGAGGCTCGGGGAGGCGCTGTGTGCGGGTAGTCCCGGCTCCCCCTGGCTCTGCCTCGGACCGACAGGGCAGGTGGCTCATTTCCCAGCCTCAGTTTACTTGTCTGGGAAATGGGGTGGAATCTGGCCATCTGGGCTCAGGAAGCTCGTGTGGGTTGTGCAGGGCTTGTGGTAGCCCTGGGTGGATGCCGTATACCCTGGGGTCTGCGACCCAGCCTGTCCTGGGCATTTAGGGTGACTTTAGAGGGACGTCATGCCCAGGAGTGTGCTGGGGGCTGAGGCCGTGTGGGCCCGGCCAGATGGTGAGGAGGCTGGCCTTTCCCAGAGCCTGGGAAAGCCTTGGGTCCCCAAGCGGTCTCATTGAAGCCCAGGTTTTGGGGTCTAGGTGCTGGTCAGTGTTAGTGGGGCTAACCGCCTCCAGCCCGCACCCTGGAACACATTCTCCCGTCCCGTTCTGAGACCACCCAGGGCCCTAGCCCCAGCGTCTGAGGGGTGGGGGCCGGAGCCCGGGGCCCCCTAGCCAGCCCTGGCCCACCTTGCTCTCCTGTCACCATGCGAGGCCGAGGGCCCTCTCCCGACTCTTCACTCTGCCTTCTCCTCCTTCCTGTCGTTTTGTTTTTGTAATAAGAGCAATGATGACATTCAGTAAAAGCTCCAGTGGTTGAGAGGGGCGGCCAGGGTCGGGATCGGGCTCCCTGCTGCACTCTGGTGCTGGCCTCCACGTGGGGGCCCGAGGGGTGCTTTGGCGCTCACACTTAGAAGGGACAGCTGGGGGCACCAGAGGGACCCGTGGGGAGGTCGTTTTACGACCAGGGGAGCGTGGGGTCCGGCAGGGTCTGCAGGGATGGTCTCCCTGACTATCCAGGTCCGGAGAGGCTGTGGGGGCAGAGGGGGGTGCCTCCTGGAGGGGTGGTGTTCGGGGGAGCCCTGGGGCCCCCTGCCCAGGCTGCCTCACCAGGGTCATTGGGACAGAGTATCCCCAGCGCCACAGGTGGGGGATCTTGGGGTCCGTATCACTGATGCCGTGGGTTGGGAGTGTGTTGAGGGGGGGAACGGCTGGGTGCTGGGATGACACCGGGAGGGGTGGCTGGTCCTGGGAGGTCAGCAGGGTGGGCGAGGGTGTGCAGGGCCCCTCGGGTGTCGCTCTGGGTGGTGTGGGGCACACAGACGTTGGCCTCACCGCCCTCTCCCCTGTCCCGGCGGTGCCAGCTGGGGGGCTGCGGCATCCTCGGGGTTGGCATCTGGCTGGCTGCCACGCAGGGGAACTTTGCTACCCTGTCCTCCTCCTTCCCGTCCCTGTCGGCTGCCAACCTGCTCATCGTGACCGGCACCTTCGTCATGGCCATTGGCTTCGTGGGCTGCATCGGGGCCATCAAGGAGAACAAGTGCCTGCTGCTCACCGTGAGTGCCCCTGACACCGTGGCCCGTGGCAGCCCCTTGACAAGACAGACGCACGCGGGTGCAGCCTGTACTGGGCCTGTTTCCTCTGAGAACACCCTTCCTGGGACTCCCTGCCCCCGCACCCTCAGCTGAGAGGCTCGCGGTCCCCACCTCTGCCTCGGAGGCCCATTTACAGGCAGGCTGCGTCTCCCCTCCGTCGTCGGGAACATTAATCACAGATAACGGAGGCGGAGAAGGATCCCCGGGCCGGGCTCCTCACCTATTAATATGTCTGGCCAAGGCCTCGGGCAGCTCCAAGTCCTAAATCACACGCTCATCGATCTTGTCTGAGGAGCCCTTGCCCAGGGTGGGGCCTCAGAGGGCGCAGCTCCCCCAGGTGTTCAGTGTGTCCAGATGCTCCCATCAAGGCTTGGGGCCCCTCTGGTCCCTTGGAGCAGCAGGTGGGGGTGTGGCTGCGTCCCCAGCTGCCCTGGGGCAGGAAGCCGTGGTGTGTGTGGGGCCCTGACCTCAGCCTTCCCCACAGGGTGACTTGGGAGTTCGGGGCCCGGGGCCTTCTGGGGGCAGGGTGGGCCCGGAGTCCTGAGCCCACACCGAGGAGAGGCCAGATCGAGGACCCCAGGAGAGGACAGGGCCTGCTCCGCATGGTCCCACCTCCTGGCCCCGTCCCTGTCTGCAGGAAAGGCACGGCGGACAAAGGATGCCTCTGCTGCTCGGCTGACCTGGGGCCTCTGTGGCCAAGGTCAGGGCTGTGCCTCAGGGGGTGCTTCAGTGGGGGACTGCCACCCAGTGGGCAAGCTTTGTGCAGTTAGGTGGGGCCGCTTCTTGAGAAGCGTGACCCTGGGCTCAGGGCCATTGCATTCGGACACCCCCTCCCCAGGGCCCCCCCAGGCATCGCCCCACCCACCCGCCCACCACAGGGACACAGGCACGTGGCACAGGTGCCTGCTTGCAGGTGTGAGGTTGTGCTCCCGAACAAGACCAGAGGCCCCCCCCCACCCCCTGTAGCCGAGGGGAGGGTTCTGAGGCGGGTGTGGCAGCATCAGGGGACGTGCTGGTCTCCGGGAGCCGACACCCGGCTGGGGCTCCCAGCACTGGGGCATCTGAGGTTCGCAGCCCCACCCTCGGAAGGCACCCAGGGTCAGGTGCAGCCAGGGCCGAGGGGCTGTCGCTGGGGCCTGTCTCCCGCAGTTCTCATTGTTGCTGGTGTTCCCTGGAGGCCACCATCACCTTCTTTCTTCTTGCCTATTAATTGACAAGGTCGTGGCCACCTCCTCCTCCTCTGTCCCCACCACTCCAGCAAGGGCTGAGTGGCACCGGGTGACGGGCAGGCGGGGGCTGACAATGGCAGTCACAAGGTGGCTCCCGGCGCGGACGCTCCCCATGACAGGCAGCGGTCCCGGCATCCCACCACTGGGGACTCAGCTAGCTAGCGTCAGCTGCCAGAGGCCAGGGCCTGGAGGGGACTCCAGGACTCCCTGGAGGCTCCGGGGAGTGGGTGGCAGGGGAGCTTGGGAAGAGTCTACTGTCCTCAGCCATGTTTGTTGGGTGGGAAAATCTCCTGCCTCCATTTACATTTGCTTAATCATTTATTTATCGCTAATTGAGGGCTCTTTGTTTGTTTGTTCGGTTATATCAGGCAGGCTCCATTGCCTCCATGTGGGCCCTGCCCCTTGGGGATTGGCCCCCTCGTGTGTCCTCTGGGCGCCTCCCGCGCACTGCTGGTGGGCACTGCCTCCTTCCCGCCTTCCTTCCTGGGCCCGCCCAGCTAAGCTTCTCCGGGAGCCACGGCTCCTTCCCTGATGGTCCTGAGCCACGCTCTGGGGCTGCGTTCCTTGTCAGCCTTCGGCCGACAGTCGGAGCACACAGCAACTAATCTGCGTACAGACGGCTTCGGGTTTCGCAGACCCGGTCTGTCGGTATCCGGACCTTGAGCGGACACCGGTTCGTGCTGGCGTGTCTCACTCTGGTCCAGACCACAGAGTTCACCCCAGGGGGCAGGGGCAAAGTCCCCGGCACAGGGACGGGGCTTCTGGCAGGAGAGGACTCCAAGTGGGGGGGGGGCACAGGGCACCTGCAGGGTCTGGATGAGGGAGGCAGGGCTGGCCGTGGGGATGGCCCTGCTGACCCCGCTGCACCTGCAGATCGACAGGTACGCCCAGCGAGACCTTAAGAAGGGTCTGCACCTGTATGGCACCCCAGGAAACGTGGGCCTCACTAATGCCTGGAGCATCATCCAGACCGATGTGAGTCTGGGGAGTGGGGTGGGGTGTGCCAGGTCGGGTGAGGGGGACAGGGACCACCTGCCTCCCCAGCCCTCCTAGCGCCTGCCCCTCTGCAGTTCCGCTGCTGTGGGGTCTCCAACTACACCGACTGGTTCGAGGTCTATAATGCCACCCGTGTGCCCGACTCCTGCTGCCTGGAGTTCAGTGACAGCTGTGGACTCCACGCACCTGGCACCTGGTGGAAGGCGGTGAGTGCCTGCATCACCCCTCCCTCCTGTCCTGGCCCTGGGACCTGGGGGTGGAGGGCTGATCTCGAAGCCCCTGTGACGCCCTCTCTTCCTCCAGCCGTGTTACGAGACTGTGAAGATGTGGCTCCAGGAGAACCTCCTGGCTGTGGGTATCTTCGGGCTGTGCACGGCACTGGTACAGGTACGCTGGGTGCCCAGACCCACCCCGGCCTCCAACCTAGCACCCCAGCTCGTCAGCACCCGGGTTCAGGCTCCCTGAGCCCACACGGCTGATGGGGGATGCTCAGGGACCAGTCCCTGGGGAGGTGACCTTTGACATCTCAGGCACAGGCAGGCCAGCCTTGTTCTGTGGTCCTAGGCCTGCCCGGTGGCTGTGGTGGGTGGGAGTCATGGGACTGCCCGGTGCAGAGTGAGGGTGGTCCTCCCGGCCCCCGGGGAAGTCCTGAGTGAAATGGACGTGAAAAAGCCGCCAGCGGAACCCACGGGAGCCAAGCTGAGGGAGAGGCAGGTCCCGGGGCCGAGCCCCAGGAAGCCCCGTCTGCCTGTGGTGGGCGGGCCCTGCGATGGCTCGCGGATGTGGCCGGGATGGGCCTGACTGCCAGGGCTGGGGGGCACCCCCAGAGAAGTGGGGTGCAGGCCATCCGGGAAGCTGGGGGGTAGGTCCATGCTTCTGGCTTCCTGGAGTCCTGCCCAGCCCCCCTTCATGTCCCGCAGATCCTGGGTCTGACCTTCGCCATGACCATGTACTGCCAGGTGGTGAAGGCTGATACCTACTGTGCGTAGGCTCCGCTCCTGCCACCCCCGCCCCCCACCTCGCTGCCGAAGGATGTAGCCCACCTGCCTCTCCCTGCTGCAGGACTCAGCACCATCCTGGGCACAGGGAAGGGGACCCTCAGCTAGCCCCGCGAGCACCGCGCTGCAGCAGGGCAGCAGGCGCGGGGCTGGGGGTGGGAGGGGCTTCTGGCGCTTCTCGGATCCGTGTGTCCTGCAGAGCAGTGTTTTCCCCCAGGGCTGGGGCCATTCGCGGGGGGGGGGGGGGGGGGGGGGGGGGGGGTTGAAGGGCCGCCCGCTGGTCCTGGTGCTCGTGGCGGACAGCCCCGCCAACCACATTCCACAGCGGAGCCAGGGCGGGCTCTGGGATGTCTTAATAAAGCGCGTGGACAGCAGCCGCCCCCCTGTGTCTGTTGCCGCTGTGACCCCTGGAGGGGGTGCTGTGCCCAGACAGACCCTGTGCGGCCGTGGCCCCCCACCAAGTGCCCGGAGTGCAGTTCCCGGACGCTCACGGGTGCAGCCACCAAACTCCACGAGATCAGATGCACAAAGTGGCACAGTGGCGCCTCGGGGCGCCACAGGGAGGCCCTGTGCCTCCCTGACCCACTCTCGGCTCTTCCAGTCCTGTCCCCTGCCGCGGGGAGGCCCCTCCATCTAGCCCCAGAGCCTTGCCTGCCCCCCGGGGGTCTGACGCTGTGAACTTTGCCCCTTAACTGTTATCTGTACGGGGGCCATCAGGAGCCGGGCAAGGATCCCTGGGCCCAGTCAGAGGGGCAGCTGGTCTCCTGGAGGAGCTCCTGAATCTGTTTCCAGCCCCCACTCCTGCTGGCTCCAGGGTGCTGCCCTCTGCCTGCTCCTCCCAGGGACGCCCCCGGGTGTCACTGTTCTTGTGTGGTGGACACACTGCTGACGCGCAGCCAAACGCTGACCACGGCCACAGACACAACCCAGACTGCCGAGTCCTCCCTCCCCCCGTCTCCCAACCTGTCCTCACTCCACGGAAACCACCAGTGAACCTACCACCAGAACCAACATGAGCCCGTCATCTCTGGGCACACGGTTAACCCACCGGCAGCAAACTCCCGGAGTGCCAACAGAAACAGCCCACGTCCAGCAGGGTGGTCCCCATCTGACCCCGTGTTCCCAGGAGCCCTCGGGCTGTTCCCCAAGCTCGCCCCCGCCCCCCGTCCAAGTATGTGACCAGACACACCTGTCCCACCGCCAGGTGGCTCCTACGGACAGACCCGCGTGCAAGCTCCTCGCTGGACCGACGGAGGAGGCTTGTCCCTCGCTCGCCGCCCACGTGAGCCCTCAGGCTCCAGCCCGCACCCCACTTCCCCCGGGGCCCGCAAACTGCCTTGGCAGCCATGCTCCCCAGGGTCCCCACCCTCCGGCCAAACCCCACCTGCTGCCTGTACTTGGTCTCCAGATTCACTTTTCTCACCGTGGGCACCCCGGGGGTCTGACCTCAGGGCCCCTCTCCTGGCTCCCACCCCCCTTCACTGGTCCCGTCTTCCGAAGCCCCACTGAGGAGCTCCCCCCACGCACACCCAGTGTCTTGTCACCTGCCCGGCTCCACGCCCACTGATCCTGACATCCCGTGAGCCCAACTCCAGAGCGGACTTCCAGACACCCTACAACCCAGCACCCCAGCCCTGGCGGGGGGAGGGGACTGGCCTACAGCTCCGTCCAGTGCTCCAGCCTGTTGCCAGGGTGTCTGTGTGGGGCCCTATGTGCCGGTCAGTGTCCCCGTCCCACAAGCAGACAGGCACACGTGTGAACACGTGCACACAGGCACATACGCACCTGTGGAAGCCGGGCACATGGATTTCTGGTGCAACACTTCCCCCACCAGTCCTCTTATTCAGGCCCCACCCTGTGAGCAGGTCTGGGGGTCAGGAGTGGGGTAGCCGGCAGAGCCCGTCCCCCTGGAGACGGGGTTCCTCCCTAGGGCGGCTGCGGGAGGGGAGGGTGGCTCCAGCAAGGAACTGGAAGACCCAAGGCCCTGCCCCTCCTAACACACAACCTCCCCCTTGGGGCCCTTCTGGCTTCTTGTCCACCCCACGACCCCCAGCTTGGAGCTCTAAGCCCAAGGGTGTGAGGGAAACCAGAGCCGTGGGGCGGCCGCACACTCACACACGGCGTCTGGCCGGTTGGTCTGGGCGGGCAGGGCTCTGGCTCCGGGCCCTGGACTGTCATGGTTCCCAAGGGGTTCTGCTGCTTGGAGCCTACGAAGGTTAATTACCGGGGAGGAGGCGTGAGCAGCCCTTCTGGCTGGGGGGCCGGGGGGCAGAGTCTTTGGCTACCGGCAATCCCAGCATTTCTCCTGATGTTTCATACTGGGAGCCAGGTTACCCTGTGAGTGGAAACTGATCACACGGCCCATGGGTGCCAGAGGGCTCCCAGGGGTCTTTCTGTTGCCCCCGTGGGGTCCAGGGCCTCTGGGGACAGGAAGAACCTTTCTGAGCCCAGCTTTCTACAGCGACGCCTACACCCTTGCCGTGTGCAGCTTGGTAAGCGGACTGAGCCAGCACGGGCGGTGAGAGGCCAAGGCCCCTCTGTGCAGCCCTGGGCTGACGCTAGGTCCTACCAGGGGCCTGGGGTCCACACGTGAGAGGGCCTCCTGGTCCTGCCCCAACCTGGCCAACGGACCGGCAGCAGTGAGGGCTGGGTGGGAGGGGCCTGGGTTCTCAGGCACCGCCCCCCCCACTACCCCTCCCCACATCGCTCACGAGGCCTGGGTCCCGGGCCCCCTCTACCACCGCTCGAGGACCACAGCAGAAACTGAACAGAAAAGAAGAGTCTGTATTTTGCTTATCAACTGGTCACTCCACTGCTCAGGAAAGCACACGTCCGCTTGGAGCCAGGCCTAGAGCAGGTCGTAGAAGTAATCCAGGCCCTGGCCCAGCTCCCACATGGACACTCCGACGCCCAGCTCCCTGGCCAGCTCCAGCCGCACCTGCACAGACTGCAGGCCCCGGGAAGCGTCAGCCCCACCTCTCACCCCCTGGCAGCCCCCCACCCCGGCCGCCAGGGAGTAGCAGGTCAGGCCCCGAGCTGACCTCCGCTGCTCACCGAGGGTAAGGGTCACTGTGGGGGGAGGGGTGTGGTACCTGCGCCCCCACCCCCAGCACAAAGGCGGGCCCGTGAGTACCTTCAGAGTTGGGTAGAAGACGATGTGCCTCCCTCCGCGGCTTCTGCAAAAGGATGAGCCTTCTGCCTCTGCCCACCTCAGCTTCTCCCAACCCCACCCAACGTGGAAGTGCGGGGTGCTCCTCCCTGTCAGCAGAAGCCTCAGGTCCTGCTGGAAACGCCGCCCCACGGGTCCGCTCCTTGGGCCGGATCAGCCCTCGGGGGCAGGGGTCGAGCGCAAGGCCCTGGGGCCCTTGGCCAGCCTGGGCATGCACAGCCCTCACCTAGGGCCTCCTCCGGACACTCACTTCTTGTACTCGAAGAAGTGTTCTGCTGCCTGGCTGTCCCACATGATCCGGGGCCTGTGGTCCTTCAGCATCTGGATGTACCTGCAGGGAACCGGGCACAGGTGTGGGAGTCCTCGAGACAGCCTGACACCGGGAGGGTCACGGTGGCTGAGGCTGTCACAGTCGGGCGAGGACCACACGTGTGCCCCGGACACAAGTACAGGAACACAGGATGGGGCACGGGACACTGCCCCCCGTGAATGTGCACTAGGGGTGGGGGACGGTCAGAGACGCGACAGATGGCTCCGATCTCAGGAGCCTGTGAGCTCACTGCTCTGGGCTGTGCAGGTGGGAGAGAGACTGCACCAAGGGGCTGGGTGTCCTGACCAGGCCTCTTGCTGTGACATCTGCACCATGAATGTCCAAGTGGACAGAGTGAGGGCACCTGCACTCAGGGTGTGGCCTCTGTAAGGTACACGGAGCAGACCAGGCACGCGACTGTCCTGAGCGCCACAGGAAGTGTGCGGGGCATTCAGGTCAAACCACAGGCCTCTGAGGAAGAGCGGGCCTGGGGACAGTCCCCGGAGGTCCCCAGCCCAGCTCTCTGGGGCCAGCAGGCAGGGGCAGTGGTTTCCGTGCCCTTCCGGAGGCCAGGCTGCCCCAGCGTTGCCTTTCTTGCCATGGACAGGGCTGCCTCACACCCACAGCAGTCCTTTCTGACTACCAGGAGCCAGGGGCTTGAGACTGCGCCCCCCGGCCCCCTAGACGCATGCAGAGGACAGGTGACTTCCCAAGGTGCTGTGGGGCCAGGAGGGCCGGGCCTCCCAGTAGCGGGTTCATGAGTGCCCCTTGGCAGACAAGTGCCGGACAGGAGGGGACGGGTACCTGCTGGCAAGGGGGGCGCCTTGCAAGTCCAACCACCTAACATTAGCGGATTACCCTTAATTAAAACAAGGTTCTCGGTTCGCTCACATTATTTGCAATTTTTGGTCTGAGGTCTCTGTGAGAATCCAGGACGTGCAGGGCAGAGCACGCAGGGCCAGACGGGAGGGTGTGTGTGTGGGGGGTAAAGGACAGGGCATTTGACCCAGGCTGCCCCTGAGTCCCCAGGGTCCCAAGCCAGGGTAGTGGGCAGATGCTGCAGGATGGGCCCTGGCTGGGGGGTGGAGGGCACGGAGGCTGGGGTCGCTCCCCTCTAGGTGACATGATTGGGGGCACACAGGACCCCGTGCTCACCTTAGTGCAGCCCCAGGGACACAGAGAGGCCAGTGGGGAGCAAACCCTGGGGAGGGCACAGTTGGGCACAGACCAGAGCTGGGAGGGGAGGGTCTGAGAGGGAGAGGAGGCAAACGAGGAGGTGGGAGCCAGAGAGAGAAGCAAGCGGGGAAATACTTCAAAAGTGAGGGCGGCAGCATTTCCCCAAACTGACCCAAGTGAGCCCTCAGCCGCACACCGCACGGCTCTGGTTGCAAGAACCGCCCAGACCAGGCGAGCCCGCAGACAGAACGCAGACTGGGGTCGCTGGGGTGGGGGTGGGGGGTACTGCCAAGAGGGCCCAAGGGTGCTTTTTGGGGGAGGAAAGCGTGGAATTTGAGGTGCTGGCTGCACAATTTTGAGACAAACGCCCCGGCACCCACCCTCTGAAACGGCAAGTTTATGGAGTGTGGAAACCACCCCCCCCC